GGGGAGACCAAGCCAGTTTTGCCCTACAGACCACATTGAAAGGGACACAGACCACTCATCTCTATTTAATTTCACTTATTGCCCACCTTTTGCAGTGAGAATGAAGGCAGATTACAAAACCATGTAACAATGCTATAAAGACCAGCAAATACCCGTAATCTAATAAAAGTGGATTACGGTTAGGGATCAGCGAAGAAAAGCAGTACATACATCCAATAAACTAGGTTACATGATTAGAAAACAATGGAATGCCTACTTTACTTGTTTTGGGATCATGTACTCTAGTTTATACATCCAATATACAATGTAGTGTGTGTGGGGGGAGACGGTCCCTAATTTTCACAACAAAAAAGACAACAGCCCTGTTCCCTTTATAAATACTGCATAGGTGGGATTCTACCACACCGCTATTCCTGATATACAAATAACATCTTGACCGATTCTGTTTTACGCATTCTGTGGAATAAGAGGAATGTGGGGTCCTTCCTGTCCCCCTGGGCCGGCCATCCCGTCAGGTGGGGGAGACAACAGAGAGAGCTCAGGTACGGGCAGCTGCAAATCTTACCCATTTACAGGGCTGCACCCTGAAGATGCTTTGCTCAGATATGTGAAGCTGTTTTGGCCTGTTGAGAACGGTGGTAGATATATGGGTCTAAGGCCATGAAGGACTTAGGGGTCTGTGAAGGCCACCGCTTGCCCTACAAGTCTCTGTTCTAGTTGTCGAAGTCACGTCAGGACCACACCAATGAGTCCCTTGATGTCCATCATAAATCAACTGCTGACTCAAGGTGCCCAAAGAGGCTGCCGCAAGAGAGACCAGTTGCAGAACAACTCCAGGTCTTCCTGGATGGCTCATCTGCTCTGGACCCTTTCCTGGACTACAGGACAGAGATGGAGCTGGTGGCTTTACGCAATCATTTGAGTGTAGACAAAGCCCATGCCTCTTTGTTGCTCTTACTGGATTTATCAGCAGCATTTGAAACTGTGGACCATGCCACCTTGTGGAGACGTTTGGAGGCAGAAGTAGGCCAGGGTGCACATTCTGGCTTGGTTCAAATCTTTCCCTAGGGACCAGAGGGTGGCTGCTGGAGACCAGCCGTCACCAATGTGAAACCCGTCCTGTCGGGCTGCAAGGGGTGCAGTCCTATCCCCCCACGCTACTCAATCTCTGTGGAAAACCCATAGGAGAAAGCATTCACTCTTTTGGATCTGGGCTTCATCAATACGCCGGTATCTCCTTATCCAAATTGCCCTGTGATGCAGTAGAAGTCCTGAATTGCTGCCTGCCTGCTGTGGTTAAATGGATAAAAATGAATGAGTTGAAACTCAATCCTCCTGACCAGACGGAGGTAGCGTTAGTTGGGAAGGCTGAGTTCTTGAAGGACGCTGCGCTTCCCACTTTTAATGGGAGTTCCTCTGACCCTAGTGTAGGATGAGGGGAAAAGAAAGTGATTTCTGACACTCACTCCTTGAGATATATATTGACAGCTGTCACTGTGCCATTATTATTATTTATTAAATTTATATCCCGCCCTCTCCGCCGTGGTGAGCTCAGGGCGGCTAACAACATACATATAAAAGTATATATTAAAACTCCATAAATACTAAAAACAAAATAAAGTTAAAATTACAATATAAAGCCATAACTGCTCAATACATACTATAATAAGAGCTGAGTCTTGACAGATCCAGATCTTGGTATGTAACCTAGAATCTTCTGATCAGAGAGATCACATTCTTTTCCCCTTGTCCTACGCTAGCTAACTCTGTTGAGAAGAACTCAAGGGGTATTCCAGATCCCGTGATCATGATGGAGAAGCAAGTTCATGCAGCAGCACAAAATCCTTTCTTCCCACTTCACTGAGCCTGGAAGACACAGACCCAACCTTGCCTCAGCTGGTCCAGCCACATGAACCCATGACACAGAGACACTGAGTCTACAGGATTTAAATGCACCCTATGTGGCTCTGCCCTTCAAAGTCAACTTGGAACCTTAGTTTGTACAAAATGCCACAGCTTAGTTGCTAGGTGGAATATGAATATTGCACCCATTCTGCAGTCGCCCCAGTTCAATTCAAGGTACTGAGTGGGCTATCACAAAGCCCTTGATGTCTTTGGACTAACACACACACACACCCCGCCGCCCGTGCTCCACCGTGGCAGCTTTGCTCATCTGAGCAGGGCCTTCTGAATGTGTCCCGCTGCAGGTGGGTAAGATTAACAGTTGTACATGTACACGTCCTTTCTCTGTGGTGGCTCCCCCACAGATCGTCTAAAGCAGAACTATTCAGGAGGGCATTTTCATAAAGACAAGAGGGCTGCAGCATGGAGGAACGGTTCGGGAGGATGAGTCTTTCCAAAAGGAAATGTCTATCCCATTGTTTATTGTATGTTCTGTCAGGTGCTTACTGCACTGTTTCCTATTTCTGTACTTCTATTTCCTGCATTGTTTATGATGCAGGATATCTAATGCACTTTTTCTTTTTTGCATTGTCCTTCTGATTTCTGTAATCCTAGCTCTGTTGTCTTATTAATGGCTGCCTTATGCCGCCTGGAATCTTTTTTTTATATCATGTGATCCACCTTGACTCTCGGTGATAAAGGTGGGCTGTATATAGCTAGCTAAATAAAGGTAAGAGGTTAGAGAACATAAGAGAAGCCAGTGCTGGATCAGGCCAAAGGCCCATCCAGTCCAACACTCTGTCACACAGTGGCCAAAAATACCAGGTGCCATCAGGAGGTCCAGCAGTGTGATGTCAAACTTAGTGTGGACACCCGACCTGCATAGCCCGGAACTCCTGAGCTCACGCAATCCGCCGACCACTAGAAGCCCTCCCACTGTTGCCCCCCCCAAGCATACAGAGCATCACTTGCCCCAGAGTTCCTATCTATCCCTTGGGGCTAATAGCCACTGATAGACTTCTGCTTCATATGTTTATCTAATTCCCTCTTGAAGCCGTCCATGCTGGTAGCTGCCGCCACCTCCTGTGGCAGTGAATTCCACGTGTTAATCACTCTTTGGGTGAAGAAGTACTTCCTTTTATCCATTCTAACCCGACTGCTCAGCAATTTCATTGAGTGCCCACGAGTTCTTGTATTTTGAGAAAGGGAGAAAAGTACTTCTTTCTCAATTTGCTGGTGCCTTGAATCGAACCACTGCTGAATAGGTGTGACGTGCATATTTTGCCCAGCTCCCAATAGCAAAACGAGCTGCAGTGTTCTGTACTAGCTGAAGAACCTGAGTCTTCTTCCAGGGCAGACCCATGCAGAGTCCATTGCGATAGCCTAGCCTTGAGGAAACACCTGAAGTTGGAAATCCACCACTCTTCCAAGCAATGCTCCCTCTAAGCTGTGGAGTCTTGTGAGCAAAAATTCTGCTTTGTGAGCTTCTGGCATTAAAGTTGAGAGCAAGCGATTTGGCTGCTGCAGGGATTATTCTGCTCTGGAGCCATCCTTCCTGAGCGAAGACAAAAATGTGTGAGCCGGAGGCTAAAAAACTGTGAGCTAGCTCACACTAACTCAGCTTAGAGGGAACACTGCTTCCAAGTACTTTGCCCAGGACTGGAACATCTCACGCACTGTATTTTCAGTAATTTTCTGAACCATTCCCTCCAGTTATTCTAATGGAAACGCATCTGTGTGGACAAGCAGAAACCTCCATAATGTTGATAGTTCTGTAATTAATGTGGAATCCACGTGGGATCAACACGACTGATTTTATTCATAGAATGCTCTGGAAGACTGGGCATCTCGTCCTTCTGGGGGCAGAGGCACAAAAGGCACACACCCTGGTTGGACGGTCCTGAGCAACCACAACAGTGGCAGCATCACCCCCTCCAGGCAGGCTACCCAAGGGTCCCTGGCCAGCTTTGGCACGAGTTCTTCTCATCTCCCATGCTGCTTCAGAGTGGCCAGGGGCCCAGAGAGAGCGGGTTGTGGCGGGCAATGTTCCCTCTAGGCTGAGTTAGTGTGAGCTAGCTCCCAGTTTTTTAGCCTCTGGCTCACACATTTTTGCTCCAGAGCACACTCATTTATGCAGTAGCCAAAACGCTCGCTCACAACTTTAATGCCAGCAGCTCACAAAGCAGAATTTTTGCTCACAAGACTCCACAGCGAAGAGGGAGCATTGGTCTTAGGTGACCCAAACTGATGGCTCCCATGCATTCATTCATTCTGCATCCCAAGCGTTCCCTCTGAGCTGAGTGAGTGTGAGCTAGCTCACAGTTTTTCAGCCTCCGGCTCACGCATTTTTGTCTCAGCACGGGGAGGAGGAGGGCTCCAGAGCAGCAGCCCCGCTGGGGAAAAGAGACCAGCCCAAAGACTCGGGGCTCCCTCCCTCCGCATCGCTCAGCTGCAGCCAAGCCGGGCGGCCTCTCTCGGAACGGCGGCTACCAACTGCCGGGAGAACCCCGCCCTGACCCCCTTGGAGAGGGGGCCCTGCGTCGTCTTCTCCTTCTCCTCCCGTAAGAACACAAGAGACGCCAATGTTGGATCAGGCCAAAGGCCCGTCCAGTCCGACACCGCGGCCGATTTGCACGCCCATCTCAAGGGGAGGGGACGTTTTCCTCCCGGGCTGTTGGCAACCCACCCGTCCACGACTCGAGGCGCGCCACTCCGACCAGCTCTTCCGCCCGGCCTCGGCAGGGGAAAGGGACCGCCCTTTTCCGCCCCCGGCACGTGATCCCGCCGAAATCACGTGCTCCCAGACTTCGTTAACTCACGCGCTTTTACGCGTTCTAAACCCTCCGCGGTCGCGTGGAAAATAGTCCCGCGTGGTTCTTGGCCTCCTCGCGGAGGAAAGTTAGCACCCCGCAGTTCGGGACGGTACACGGACGGGGTTCATTCGGTGCCGCGATTGCGGATCAGGGCCGCCCCGGCAGCCTTCCACCTCAAACCGGGAGCCCCCTCCCTCGGGAAAAGTAGTTCCAGCAGCAGCGGTGACGACAGCGGCAGCGGGGTCCCGGCAGAAAAATCCCTCCGCCTCCTGAGGAAAGCGGCGATGGCGGCTTCGCGGGTGCCGGACCGGACGGAGCGCCGAGCTGGAGACCGAGAGGATTTCGCTGGGGAGGCGATTCGCGGTGAGGAGGGCGCGGTTGGACGGCGAAGGGTTCCGTCGCTTTCATCTCGCCCAGCTGCGGCGCTCCGCCGGCTCGCCCTCCGTGCGTGGACCCTCGGCAAGATGGCGGCGCAGGCTGACCGGGGGCTCAGGCAGTGCCAAGGGCAGCCTGCCTCGGCCAGGGCCCGGGGGGAGGGAGGGATGGGGAGCAAGGGCCAGGCGCGCGCGCCAGCCCCGAGTCTGGCTGGGCCAATAGGGGCAGGGGGCGCGCGGCGGGCTGCGCCAATAGGGAAGGGGCCTGCTTGGGGCGAGTGGCGAGGCGGTGGAGGGCTCTGGCGCGGTGCATGGTGGGAGAATCCCTGCATCCCTGCCCGGGCGCAAGGGATGTCCTTGCAGGTGCTCACCCGCCCCTGGGAGAGGGCCTCCTTGCACACCTGCCCGGTGAAGGGATCAGTTTGGCTTGCAGCCTCTGTCAGGTGTTCACAGCCAGGCCAAGCAGTGTTCTCCCTGCTCCCAAGCATTTCCCCTCTGCTCCAATTAAGCTGATCACAATGTTACTGAAAACATGACTTTTGTTGCTGGATGGTCCAGTGAGGCATATTGCTTGATTTTCTTGTCTGAATTGAGAGGCTGGAATTTGGGATGTTCTTATTTGGAGGGGCTTGACGGCACAACATTCTCTTTAGGAGTTTACTCTTTCTTCCTCATTCTCTTCTCATTTTTGATTAGTATGAAATTTCCTGAATGCTGCTCATATTCTGGCCGCCTTCAAGCAAAAGAGCAAGAGTTCGATCTGGCTGTTCTTGAAATTTGGATGATATTGTTCAGGTGTGTTGTGAATGACAAACGCTGTGGCACAGTGGGGAACCAGATGATTACTGTTACACACAGAACAGCAAGTGGAATCCAGTCCCTTTTCAAAGTTCTACTGAAGATGTGGCACATCAGTCTAATTTCTGGTCAACAGCTGGTAGAAATTTATTGATCGATTTAGCCTCACAACACAAATTAACCAATTCATCAGTTATAGTATCAGTGAAACAAACTATTCCATGAAATTGCCAGAACTGCTCAGTAGCGTTGAGCTGGTCTGATTGGTTAATTCTCTCAGGGGCAAGGTGAAGCTGACACAGGTAGTGGCTACATTGTAGTCCTAAGCAGAATTATATTCTTCTGGGTCAGTAGAATGGGGCTGCGGTGGCTCAGTGGTTAAGATGCTGAACTGCTGACTGGAAGGTCGGTAGCTCAGCAGTTTGAGACCCAAGTGCTTTATGAGTGAACTCCCGTCTCTGGTCCCAGCTCCTGCCAACCTAGCAGTTCAAAAGCAAGAAATTGCAAATAGATAAATAGGTACCGCTTCGGTGGGAAGGTAATAGTGTTCCGTGCGCCTTGCCGTCTAGTCATGCCAGCCGCATGACCACGGAAACGTCTTCAGACAGCGCTGGCTCTTCGGCTTGGAAACAGAGATGAGCACTGCATCCCTAGAGTCGGATTCAACTGGCTTTTGAGCAAGGAAAACCTTTTACCTTTAGTAGGTGAGCAGAGGCCAGTGGGCTGAGAAGGGTGTAACTTGGTCCAAGATTACGTAGAAAGTCTTCTGAAGATTCTCTAGCTGAGTGTGTTTTTCTTACCCCATCCCCTACACTTCTTGGCTGTTGTCCAGGATTAGTCATCGTCTGCATGCAGTGCACAGGAGGCTATTTCTCTTAGGAAAATACTTCCTGGGGCCTTGTGGCTGGAAAGCCGAGTTGTCTTCACTGTGTGTGAATTCCCATAGCCAGGGGGGAGGTGTGGGCATTGTCATCTAGCTTATGACTGACAGGAGGGAAACGGATCCTGTTTGCATTAAAGCAGGCCTAACCGTCCTTGTGCCCTGTCTCCTCCTTGTTCCTTTTTGTTCCGTGCTGGGAAGTGTTCGGACACAGGGCTCCCAGGCTGGGCTGATGCCTCAGTAACATTCTAGGCATTTGGGCAGGGCAGTTTCCGCCCACGAGAGTGTGCAGACTATGGCTTAAAATGCTGCCGGTGCATAGAATGAGGTCACGTCCAGCTGTGGAGCCAGACAGCCACTACCAGAAATTTTGAAGCTTGGGAAAAAAAACCATTTTTTCCGGGTTTTGGGGGGAAAAAATTGAAATTTTCAGAAAAATTGGAAAAAATGGTACATTAGCACTTCTTTTTTCTTTTCCAGATTGTAAGTCATTCTGTTACTTTAGGAACATAAAATATGATTATGGACATTTTTACTTGGCATGAAATTATCACAATTAGCTTATTAAAAATATAGTGTCTCCAAACAATTATTACAAACAGAATAACCAGCCACATGCAAAAGCAAAACTGAAACCTTTTTATTTTCTTGTGACAACAGCACCTCCTAAAGGAAGAAATGCATCTTGTTCTTGCATTGGAGAGTTCAGTGTGTAACCTAGGACTTGCTTGTCCTCAGTGCACAGAAATTAGATCAATCTGATACCATACATATTTTTTAGAAATGATTTGGAAACTATTTGAACACCTTGTCTTAAAATATTTTATTCCTCATGTTAAAATAAAATGTTCCATAATGAATTCTTTTCTTTTTTTAATTTTTCCAATTTTTCGGGAAAAAACAAAAAAGGTTTCGGGGAAAAAATGTTTTTTCCCTGAATTTTTCTGTTTTTCCGGGCCTTCACATCTCCAGCCACTACCTGCTCCATGCATCCCAAGTGGGGAAGGGACCCTCTTCCACGAGCAGCAGAGTGCTGTCTTTCCACGGTGGCCGGACGCTGCCCCTGTGGGGGAGGGGCTGTGGTACGTGCCACGCCCCACAGCAGATGAGAGTGCAGCGCCTGCCTCCTTCCCTCACCAGGTCTGGCCATGGAAGCTGAGAACGAAGTGGAGAGCAGCAGTGATGCTGCCCCTCGGCCAGAGCGGCAGGAGGAGCCCTCCGAGAGCGGCCTCGGCATGGAGACGTCCGAGGCCGTGTCCGCAGACAGCAGTGATGCTGCCCGGGTGCCAGTCACTCTCTCAGAAGCAGACGAGTCGGGGGTCGGCCAGAGCTCTGACCGCGGAGGCGTCTCTCTGGTATGGACCGAGGGGCGGCCAGCTGGAGGAGGGAGCACAGATGCCACACACACTTGGGGCAGAGGGGCCCCAGCCTCCGCAGGCTAGGCCCGCTGCAGCCGGGCCGAGAGCAGAAAGGGCAACCGGGTGGAGGCGTCTCCTGCCTCTCGCCCGGTGCAGAACTCTGAGCGGGAAGGCCACTTGTGCTCTCTGTCTCCATCTGTCCGGCAGGCCGAGGTGTCTGAGAGCAGCCCCGGCAGAGACGCCCTACCCAGGGCCTACCTACCCGACTCCTCCTCCATCGCACAGCCCGCCCTGGTGTCCAGCATCTCTGCCGCCACGAGCCAGTCCCTCCTGATCTCGCAGTCCCCGCAGGGCCTCGTTCACTCCAGCGTGCTGGCGGAAGGGGCTGCCGTGGTGTCGGATTCCACGGCCTCCACCTCCTCTGACCTGGGCTCCGCCATCGACAAGATCATCGAGTCCACCATCGGGCCAGACATCATTCAGAGTGAGCCGTGGGAGGGTCGGGTGTGTGTGTGTGTGTGTGTGTGACGGTGGCCATGAGAGCGGCAGCAGTCGCCTGGTCCGGGGCCTCTGCTCAGCCCCTGCCCAAGGAGGCTGTTCTCGGTTGCCTGCCGCTCTGAGCAGGTCGTGTCCCCTGCCCTGGGAAGAGAGGCTGATTCCTCTGGGCGTGTGTTCCTGCTGCAGGGTGCATTGCTGTGACCACTGAAGAGGACGGCGGGGCGCAGACCACCCAGTACCTCATCCTGCAGGGGCCAGACGACGGTATGCGAAGGGTGCTGGGCTTCCTGCTCCTCCTCCTCCTGACCCCGTCCTCACAGTCCTCCCTGCTTGGGCGGGGGCCCGAGAGCTTCAGCAGTCCCAGCCTCTGCCGGGGCTCCAGCCATTCAAGGAACACGAGAAGAGCCCCGCTGGGTCAGACCAGGGAGGGTCCAGCCTCCTGCCTCACACAGTGGCCAACCGGTTCCTCTGGAGGGCCAACCACAGGGCAGAGAGGCCGAGGCCTTCCCTTGAGGCTAACTGCCTCTGAATGTGGAGGTTCCTGGTATCGGGGTGGAGGGAGGGTTGCAGCATGGCTGTGTGGGGAGCTGTTGGCTGCTGCTCAGCAGGATCCCGGCATCTCTCTCCTGAGAGCCAGTTTGGCATAGTGGTTAAGCGTGGCGGACTCTAATCCGGGTGAACCGGGTTTGCTTCCCCACTCCTCCTCACGCAGCTGCTGGTGTGACCTTGTCAGTCCTAAGTCCTCTCAGAGCTGTTCTCTTAAGGGCCGTTCTCGAGAGAGCTCTCTCAGCCCCACCCGCCTCACAGGGGGTGTCTGTCTGTTGTGGGGAGGGGGAGGGGAAGGAGTTTGTCGGCCGCTCTGAGGGCGGGTGGTGTAAATCCAATCTCTTCCTCCTCTTCTTGCCAGGCGCACCTGTGATGTCCCACCTGGCCAGCTCCGGCTTGGCCCCTGGCGTGGCAGCGGAGTCTCTGGTGGACGGCCCCACCTCCACGTGTGTGGAGCCCCCGGCCCCGTTGGAGCGGCCTGCCCCGTTGGCCCAGTCCGGGGAGCCCGACCTGGAGAGCCTGGAGGAGCTGATGGAGGTGGTGGTGGTGCAGCAGTTCAAGTGCAAGATGTGCCACTACAAGAGCAGCGTCAAGCAGACCCTCCTCCACCACATGCGGGAGCGGCACTTCCAGCCGGGTGGGTGGGCAGGAGAGGGCGTGGCCTCGTCTGGGGGAGGGGCGGCAGTTGGATGGAGGCCTGTGCCGGGGCTGGGGGGGGGGAACGGACGCTGTTGGCTGCGAAAGAGGGCCGGTGTCCGTGCCGAGGGAGCTTGCGTTCCACACTATGGACCAATGTTCCCTCTAAGCTGTGGAGTCTTGTGAGCAAAAATTCTACTTTGTTGAGCTCAGGAGAGTGAGCAATTTGGCTGCTGCATCAATTAGTTTGCTCTGGAGCCCTCCTTCCTGAGCTGAGACAAAAATCTGTGAGAGGCTAAAAACTGTGAGCTAACTCACATTAACTCAGCCTAGAGGGAACACTGCTCTGGGCATGCCAGAGTAGGCCTCTTTCTCGGCTGATGAGCATCTGTTAGCCAAGGGGGGGCAGGGTGTCTGGCAGAGCCCTGAGGGTCCCTGCTCTCCACCTGGGAGGCCCGTTCAACTCCCTTCCGTTTCGGTTTCTGAGACCTCGCAGGGCAATTCATGAGGAACAGGCTGGCTGAGATGGCAAGTCAGCATCTGTCTAAACAGCCAGTGGAGGTACTTGGGGCACGGCGTTCCTTGCTAGGTGGTGGTTCCTGAGCTCGCACGACACCGTTGTGAATGTGCAAGAAGAAATGTGCAGCAGCCCTGCCAATAACCCCAAGGGGAGGCATGGCACGTTTCGTGCCCAGTACGTTGGCTGGCCCCAGTCAAGGGACTGAATGGCCAGTCATAGGTGGGAGGGTCGCCATTTCTTGGCTGAAGAATGAGTGCTCTAATCTGGGAGAACTGGGTTTGATTCCCCACTCCTCCTCCACTTGCACCTGGCTGGATGACCTTGGGCAAGCCGTAGTTCTGACAAGAGCTGTCCTTGAAAAAGAGCAGTTTCTGTCAAGAGCTCTCTCAGCCCCACCCACCTCACAGGGTGTCTGTTGTGGTGAGGGGGAGGGAAAGGAGTTTGTCAGCCACTCTGAGACTCCGAGTGAAGGGCGGGGTATAAATCCAATCTCTTCTTCTCTTCTTCTGGGCAGCCATCTGTAACTGTTCTGTCCCCTGCTTTCCTCCAGCTGCAACTGCTGTCTTGAAAAAGGGGCGCCCACGTAAGGGGGTTTCTGTGCAAAAGTCCCCTGCGGTAGCGAAGCCAGAGGAGGAGGAGGAAGACGACGACATTGTGGACGCTGGGGCTCTGGATGACGCGGAAGGTACTGTGTTGTGCAGCGGTCCTGAGCATTTGGCTGGCCTCCATTCCCGTCTCTTGGCTCCGCCCAGGGGCTGTGCCGCTGACGTTACTCCTTCCTGTTGCAGATGACAGTGACTACAACCCGGCTGAGGACGAGCCCCGTGGGCGGTTGCCCAAGCCCAGCCGCCCCCTTCCCTCCTCCAGCGAAGAACGGCTGCGCCGGCGTCCAGGAAGGCCCCGCAAGTTCCCTCGCTTGGCATCTCTGCCTCAGACGGAAGGTACGAAGGGAACGTGGAGGGAGCTGGTATGTCAGAAGGGGCCCTCCCTCGGCCCACCAGCTCTCTCTCGCCCCAGAGCGTTTTGACTTTTAGCAGAGGCTGAAAAAATATTCTATTTATTAATTTAGGAAACTTCTTTTTTTGCATTTTTGGTTCAAAACAATCAAGGCAACTTACAAAATAAACAATGGAAATATTATTTACACAGGAGAAGGGAGAGAGAGCTTCTCTACTGGCATAAATAGCATTAGTATTAGAAGCAGAAGAGCGGGGGGGGGCCCTCAATAGTAGAACGTTTGCTTGTCATGTAGAAGGTCCCAGGTTAAGAAGAACATTAGAAGAGCCCTGCTGAATCAGAGCGTCCATCGAATGCATCATCCCATCTCACACGGTGGCCAGCCAGTTCCTCCAGAAGGCAGCAACAGGGCACAGAGGCCGAGGCCTTCCCCTGATGTTGCCTCCTGGCTCTGGGATTCAGAGGCTTTCGTGCCTCTGAACTTCGAGGTTCCCCTCAGTCACCAGAGCTAGTAGCCATTGATAGACTTATCCTCCACGAATCTCTCTAATCCCCTTTTAAAGCTGTTTATTCCTGTGGCCATCTCTACATCCTCTGGCAGCCGATTCCACATTTTAATCACTTTCTGTGTAAAAACGTATTTCCTTTTGTGCGCCCTGAACCTACTGCCCATGAGAGCTTCATTGGATGCCCTCAAGTTCTAGTCTTTTGGGAGAGGGAGAAAAAAAAATTCTTTGTCAACTCTCTCCATCCTATGCATAATTTTATAAACCTCTCACATCTCCCCTTGTCTCTTTTCTAAGCGGAAAAGTCCCACACTCTTCAGCCTTTCCTCCTGGGGAAGGGGCTCCAACCCCCCTAATCATCTTGGTTGCCCTCTTCTGTAGTTTTTCCAGCTCTGCAATGTCCTTTCTGAGATACGGGGATCAGAACTGTACACAGTATTCTAGGCTGAATTTGGAATTCAAGCAGGTTGAATTCCCAGCATCTCTAGCTGAAAGGGCCATGCAGTAAGTGGTGTGAAAGATTTCTGCTAGAGCCCCTGGAGAGCCCCGGCCGGTCAGTAGGTAGTACTGACCTTGCTGGACCAAGGGGCTGGGTCAGTATAAGGCAGTTCCGTGCATCCAGAGTCTTCGGCTGGGAGGGCGGGATGCAAATCTGATAAATAAGATAAAGAAAGAATGTGAAAGCGGTTTGCGAGATTACGGAGACCCTTCTCCTATTTATTTATTTCAGTAATCTCATTCTACTTTTCCCTCTAATGAGGGGACCCAGAGCAATTTCCGAAACAAGAAAACAGAATTTTTAAAACCCCACACGATGTAAAGAAGCAAACGGGGAAGGAAACCCTGAGCTATAGTGGCGGATCTGCCGGCCCGACTCACAGGAGGTCTCAGGCTCTGAGCCAGGGGCCAGGAACCCTCTGGCCATGCCCAGGAGACCTTCGTTCTTGGGACGATCTGTGCAGCTCCCGGCAACACCCAGGGAGGGCCCCCTTAAATAGGCACACTTTGCAATTGTGACAGAAGGCCATAAGAATATGAGAGAAGCCGATGTTGGATCAGGTCAAAGGACCATCCCGTCCAACACTCTTGTGTCACACAAGGGACAGAAATACCAGGGGCCCTCAGGAGGTCCAGCAGTGGGGCCAGGACACTAGAAGCCCCCCTCCCACTGTTGCCCCCCCCCAAACACCAAGAATACAGAAGCATCCCTTGCCCCAGACCGAGAATTCCTCTCTATACCTTGAGGCTAATAGCCACTGATGGACCTCTGCTCCACATGTTTATCCAGTTCCCTCTTGAAGCCGTCCGTGCTTGTAGCTGCCACCCCCTCCTGTGGCAGTGAATTCCATGTGTGAATCACTCTTTGGGTGAAGAAGGACTTCCTTTTATCCGTTCTAACCCGACCGCTCAGCAATTTCATGGAGTGCCCACAAGGAGTTCTTGTCTTGTGAGAGAAGGAGAAAAGTACCTCTTTCTCAACCTGCTCTATCCCATGCATAATCTTATAAACCTCGATCATGTCACCCCTCAGCCGTCCTTTCTCCAAGCTAAAGAGCCCCAAGCGCTTTAACCTTTCTTCATAGGGAAAGTGTTCCAACCCTTTGATCATTCTAGTTGCCCTTTTCTGCACTTCTTCCAATGCCATAATATCCTTTTTGAGGTGTGGAGACCAGAACTGTACACAGCACTCCAAATGAGGTCGCACCATCGATCTATACAGGGGCATTATGATACTGGCTGATCTGTTTTCAACTCCCTTCCTAATAATCCCCAGCATAGCGTTGGCCTTCTTTATTGCAGTCGCACACTGTCTCAACAAGGCCGAGAGGGAGTGGGTGTGGAGGAGCTCTCTTCCACCCTCTAGCGGTTCATGCTCAGTCCAAGGCTGGCTTTCTGCATGGGCCGGGCTCTCATGGCCGGTGGCCACAGTGACTGTGCTCGGTTGCCAAACACAAAGCTGTTCTATAGCAGGTCCGGCCGCTGGTCCACCTGGATCCGTGCTCCTTGCTCTCTGAGGTCGTGGCTGAAGGCCCTGGTACTGGTAGTGGTGCTGGGCTGTGAGCCTGGGGCCTTCTGCATGCAGAGCATGAGGGTCACCACCGGGCCACGGCCCTCCCCCACCGGGGGCTGCTTCCAGCACTTTACATCTGGGTGCCCAGTGGACAAATGCAGGCTGGTGCTACTTGTGTCCTGCTTGGCCTCCAGTTGGGCATCTCTTTGTGTTGCTTCCTGAGCCGGGACTGCAAAGTCAAGTCAGGCCCCTCGCAGGCCGTGGAACGCAGTGGGAGGGATGCATCTGGCTCAGTGTGCGGCGGGTTGAGCCGCCGGTCGGTCGTGTGCTTCCTTCTCCAGGTGGTGTGGTGTGGTGGTGAAGGGCCAGGTGACTGGCTGTCCCTCCACCCTGTGCTGGTGATGTGGGGACAAGGGGGGCTATTGGTGGGGGTTTCTGCGGGAACGCTGTGCTTGGAGGAAGGGCTCCCGGTCTGCGCCCTCTGCCTCATCCATAACGTTGACGCCCTGCCTGCACGCGTCCCTCTGGTGGCTGAGACGGGCCGGGTCCTCTTGTGAATTCTTCACCGGGCTCCCAGAGCAAGGGCTGCAGTGGGAAGGGGAACTCCTGGCCTGCCTCTCAGACATTATTACCCTGTTGTTGAAGGATGAGCTTTTGCAGAAGTCAAATCCGATAGCAAAAATCGTGGAAGGAGACAGCACAGCGCTTGTATTGTCTATCCATCTTTGGTGTCGTGGTGAAGTGCGCAGAGGACTCTAATCTGGGAGAACCGGGTTTGATTCCCCACTCCTCCACTCGCAGCTGCTGGATGACCTTGGGCAAGCCGTAGTTCTGATAAGAGCTGTCCTTGGAAAAAAGGGCAGTTTCTGTCAGAGCTCACTCAGCCCCGCCTACCTCACAGGGTGTCTGTTGTGGGGAGGGGGAGGGAAAGGAAGGGAGTTTGTAAGCCACTCTGAGACTCCGAGGGAAGGGCGGGGTATAAATCCAATCTCCTCCTCCTCCTTCTTGTCTCCCTTGATCTTTCAAGTGAGCCTAAATCCTCACCCATGACAAAGGGACCCTGATTATACTCTCTTTGCAAATCTGTAATGTGTGCCTGGGCATGTCTTAATCCAGCTCTGCAGGGGGAGTGTGATCTGGATTAAAGCTATTCAGCAAGTCAGTGTATGCACAGCTTTTGGGGGGGGGGGGCAGCAAAGAGAGGTCTTTGTAGAAACGGAACAAGCCGTCCACTGGCCAAGGGTTTTCCCTGTGGGGTGTCAATGAAGTTGGGATTGTCTGGGGTCCCAGTGCCCGTTGGTGTGCTGCTCTCTTGCACACTTGCTTACACCTTCAGGCCACTTCTAGGGTGATGGGGAGGCCCTGCGGAAGAACGTCCCAAATCCCATTTCGCGGTGGGGAACTGAGGCTGCCTGAGATGATGCTCAGCTCCACCTTCCAGATCTGCGGCCGCTTCTCTGGCTCCTTGGCCATTTCTGTGGATTCCATGTGCTCCTGGTCCGCTTTTTAAAAGCACCAGAACAAAGCTTGAGCCCAGGGGCACCTCTAAGACCACCTGAATCTATTTTAAAAAGCATGTCCTTGGACGTTAACAGTATCCAGACAGCTTTCAGTGTCACCCAGTTCCCTCCCTCCCAACCTGAGAGGTGTGCTTCTGTCGGGCAGGTGACGGGATGGATCCTGTGGTCTCCTCGCAGTGTGCCCCTCGGGGAGACCTGCAGGGCGCCGAGGCAGCCAGCTCCTCCGCTCCGGCCCCCCTCCCTGGCGGATGTGTCGCAGAGCCTGCTGTCAGCCAGTCTGACTCCGAGAACAGAGACCCCGCCTCTCACGAGGAGCCGGAACAGATTCCCCGCCGGCGAGGCCGGCCCTCCCACCGTTTCCTGGGCAAGAAGTTCTGCAAGTACATGGGCCGCAGGTGAGGGCGTGGGCAGTGGGGCCGGCCGGCCTGGGTGGGGCTGACTGGCAGATTTCTGAGCGCCCCTGGGTTCTGCTGCTGCTGCAGGTACTGCTACAAGTCTGCCAAACCCCTGATGCGCCCCTTCCTGTGCCGGATCTGTGGCTCCCGCTTCCTCACGCACGAGGACCTGCGCTTTCACGTCAACTCACACGAGGCCGGCGATCCCCAGCTCTTCCGCTGCCTGCAGTGCAGCTACCGTTCCCGGCGCTGGTCGTCTCTGAAGGTGGGCTCCCGTTCCCCCCCCCCCGGCAGGAGCACATGTTCAACCATGTGGGCAGCAAGCCGTACAAGTGCGAGGAGTGTGACTACACCAGCGTCTACAAGAAAGACGTGATCCGCCACTCTGCGGTGCACAACCGGGACAAGTGAGTGTCTTTCTGTGGCAGAGTTCCCTCTAAGCTGAGTGAGTGTGAGCTAGCTCACAGTTTTTTAGCCTCTGGCTCACACATTTTTGTCTTAGTTCAGGAAGGAGGGCTCCAGAGTAAATTAATTTATGCAGTAGCCAAATGGCTTGCTCACAACTCTGCCAGTAGCTCGCGAAGTAGAATTTTTGCTCCACAGCTTAGACGGAGCGTTGCTCTGTGGCAGTCTCAAGTCCTTTCCGTCCTCTGCGTCATCAGCTGCAGGGGGCCTTCATTGCACTCTGTGCCCCAGGGAGTCCCGCCTGTGCCGTGTAAATGCTCCTATTGCGTTCACATCCCATTGGTCTCTCTACTTTGGGACCCAAAGTAGCTGACGGCATCGTTGTCCCCCTTGAGAGCCAGTTTGGTGTAGTGGTTAGGAGCTTGGACTCTAATCTGGGAGAACCGGGTTAGATTCCCCACTCCTCCACTTGCAGCTGCTGGTGTGACCTTGGGCAAGCCGTAGTTCTGACAAGAGCTGTCCTTGAAAAAGAGCAGTTTCTCTCAGAGCTCTCTCATCCCCACCTACCTCACAGGGTGCCTGTTGTGGGGAGGGGGAGGGAAGGAAAAGGAAAGGAGTTTGTAAGCCGCTCTGAAACGCCTTCGGGTATTGAAGGGCAGGGTATGAATCCAATCTCTTCTTCTTTACACCCTTGAGCCTTGCAAGAACAACACCCTTACGGTGTAGGTTAGGCTGAGAGATAGGGATGGGCCCAGGGTCACCTACGGAGCTTCCGTGACCTTGGGGGGTTTGAGTCTGGCTCTCCCAGGTCCTCGTCCGAGCCACACAGACTCTTGGTGTTAGGAGGGTGTCGTGCTGTGGCCTTTGGCTCAGTCGCCTCCCAGCTGCCTGCCTTGACCCGCTTCCTCCTCTCTTTTTCAGGAAGAAGCGAGCTGACCCGGTGAGTGTCCCATTCTCATCCCGCCCCGCCCCTTAAAAGCCTCCTTTGCCCTTGCAACAGCCTCTTACGTGGGCTGCGGGGAGCCGGGAACTGGAGGCCACCTTCCAATGGGCCCGCAGCCCTATCGGGAGAGCAGACCTTTGGCCAGCTATGAAGCCAGCTCCCGGTTTGGGGCGGGTGGCTGGGTGAGTGGGCAGGCCGTCCCGCTCACGTGCAGCCTCCCCTGTCTCTGCAGCCGCCCAAGCGGAGCTCCTTCCCTTGCCCCATCTGCAGCCGCGTCTACCCCATGCAGAAGCGCCTCACCCAGCACATGAAGACGCACAGCGCTGAGAAGCCCCACATGTGCGACAAGGTACGAGTGGGGGACAGGCAGGGACCAGTCATTGT